GTTGGCCAGATTTTAATGAGTGGGATAATCAGACTTATTGTTGAGTAGACTGGCACAGCAATAGTGTCATCTTCCATTCACAAGGATGACATGAAGGCGAAGATTCATGCAGCATTATTAAGCCTGAGTTTAAGGCCATTGACCATAGAAGAAATGGGGCTTTTTACTCTTCATTTTCTAATATCCGCAAAGTGCCATCTCAATATGCCGTACTTCTCTTTAGTCGTCGTCTTTCTTTCATACGGTAGAAACATCATTGGTTTGTTGTAAGGTGGAGTGGTCGGTTCGCTGCTTTCCTCTGCTTTTGTGTACTATATCCGTCGTTTCTACTGATCTCTGTGTTTGAACTGTCTTTCTTTCCTTTCTAATTCATTCCATATCGAAATTTCTCAGAGATAGTAACTAAATATGCTATCCGCAAGTATGTTATACGTTAAGAGGCATTTTTGAACCTCGGTGTAAGGTTAATTTGCTTTCCGCCGAAAACCGTCAAATCACTTGTGGCAGTTGTTCTTTTGTGGAATTCTAACTATTGGCACCGATATGGTCGTTGTGCTGGCTGGTAAGCTTATCTCGAAAGATCTGCAGCTGCGAAAGTTTTCATGCCGTATGTTTTCGCCTAGCGTCCATTCCATGCTGAACAATCTAAGCAAGGTTGAGGCTACGTTGCACATCAGGAAATTCAATAATGCCTCTATCATCCTCTTCCAAGAGGCTCGGCTGTCAAATGAAATCGACGATCAGCTGATGCCAGTTTCCGGCTTTCAATCATTTCGAGTTGTTCGTCAGTCGACAACCCGATCCGATGATGGCCGAGTTGCCACTTTTATCCGCAGGACTGGAACACAGACCCACAGCTGAAGTACGTTTTTCAGCCAGACAGGATTGACTGTCTTAAGGTGCTCAGCCTGGCAGGTGTTTAATTACTACGGAGTCGTGGACTGCTTAAATAATCACCCCTTAGCAACTGGTGGCAAAGGGTTGGTGCAATTCGCCGTGAAATCTGGTTTTGGAGATATCATGCGTTATTTGGTGCACTCCGGTGATATATACGAACAATTTATGATATATGTGATTATATTCGGTAGCCTGTTAAGTATGTGGACCAATACAACGTAAGGTCTTTTTCCACAAAACTCTATCCGTACCTTGGCAAGTCAGGTCAGTGTGACCATGCAGCATGGGGGATGGGACTGTCATTCTAATGAAAGACATGATCCACGACTTGCAGTAGCGCTGGGATGGACGCAGGACGAAAGTTATGCGGTAAGTCCACATAAGGAACGAGTCAATTGTTTTGTAGCCTAAGTATCCCAGTTGGATGTGAAGATTAGGAAAAAGAAATTGGTTATGTTGCATAAGTTGCTTGAGCATAAACTTACATTCCAACCTGCGCGCGTCTCATATAGGTGCCGAAGCCTTTCAGACGTCCAGCAAGATATCACTATGTCATACGGAAGAATAAGGTAAAACCCTGTCTGAGTTCGGAGCAGAAATTTTCCTTTCTACGGCGGCAAAAGTGTTGAAAAGTTGAAAACAGCAGGGCATATCACAAACCGAAGACTTTCCGCAGATACAGCCGGCTCAAGATGATGATTTAGACATATGAAAAACAGACATAGAAAGTGAATTATGCCAGCTTGATTGATTTTTTAAACGCTTGGTTTGTCTTCGATAAGGCTAATCCAGATAAATCGCAAATGTTTAAAACGTGTGCACTAAGCAGAATTGGGAACATAATCACGCCAGGGTGTAACATTGTGTCAGTTGTTCTTGAGGCTCCAGGCTGCTGTTGAATTTCAGCAAGATGTGCCGGAGCATAGGCAAATTAATGTTCTTTTTGGCACAGCATCCGAAATACAAACCATCACCACTGACATGTACGGTCGACGACAAGCCATCTGGTCACTGCTCGCCACGAAGCACTGTTTACTTAAATAGGAAAGTCGTTCGATTGAATCAATGGCAAGCGACAGGTAGACTGACTAGTAGACTCCGCGCAAGTTCGAATGGTGGCAGACAAAAGAGCATGTGAAAAACTAACATACCGGACAGAAAATGTAATTCCGTTGGTGCAAAACCTAATAAAAGTACACAGATTGTCCAACTGGGAAACGAAATCGTTGGCGTTTTTTCCCTCACCTTGGCAACAGCCAGCAGTTGTTCTTCTGAGTTGTGCGGGTACAAATCGCGACGTGCTGCATGGAAGCGTCCATCCCTCGTTCACGTCTTTAAGTGCTACACAGCTAAAGCGGTTTTACGTATTCTTTTATGACGATTCGCAGATTTATGGACACCATCCTCGTGATAATATATATGTCATTGCACAGTGTTACCGTTGACTAACGATTGGTGCCGTGCTGCGCGTATGTTCATACTTTCTAGAAAGGCTAGGCTTACTTTGAAGAGGCCGAAGCGGCGTTCGCGGCGTCAGTATTATTGATAGTTAGCACTTGTTCACTGTACTGCCGATTAGCGAAGACTAAGTGTAGCTTCATATTTATGGACGGAGGAAAACGAATTTTAAATGCACTTATTTCTTCCTGAAAGAACTTCGAAGAAGCGACGAATGCATGTCACAGACACGAATGTGAAAACGTGCCCGTAACGTCAGATTCGAACAACGCGGACAACGTTTCCTTCCCATTTGAAGGTAATCTTGTGCCGGTATAGGAGTACTGCTTCGTGTTGTACCTGTTTAAATCAACGCTTGATGACTTAATACGATGTTACTTCAAACTAACAACTCTTTTCCCTTTTCTTTCTCCTACTCTGCTTATTGTTTCTCTTCACCGGAAGGAAGAAGTGAGAGACCGGATTGGAGCTCGATTGGATCGAATAAATACATACTACTGCCCTCTTAGTCCTTTCGGTGTCATGCCAGTTCTGATCAGATCTTCCCTTCTTGTCTGAGATTTTCCTGGAGGTTGTTTACCATCAGACTGCGCTGGCTTTGATATCGCGTCGGCTATCGTTCATTGCCTGACAATGATCTCACTCTCTAAAACTCCTTGTTTCGGTCACTTTAACTGGATATCGGAATCTCTCTTACAACGCCATTTAAAACAAGATCGTTCCACTTCACTTCTCATATCGGCCTTTAACTCTTTACTTCCATCGATGCCAATTTTCTGGTTTAGGCCGTGCCAGTTGTT